AGACCTACATCCAAGATTGCTCTACCCAGCAAAGCTTTCATTTAGAATGAAAAGGCAGATAAAGTGCTTCTCAGATAAGATCAAATTCAAGGAGTTCATCATCACCAAGCCCTTGTTCTATGAAATGTTAAAGGGACTTACCTAAGAAAAAGAAGATAAAAAACATGAACAGTGAAAGGACAGCAAACTCACAGTTATTAACAACCACACCTAAAACAAAAGCAAACTAAGAGGACAGCTAGATCAGGAGCAGAACCATAGAAATGAAGATCACATGGAGGGTTAGCAACAGAGGAGTGGGAGGAGGAGAAAAGGGGAGAAGGTACAGAGAATAAGTAGCATAGGCGGTAGGTCGAAAACAGATAGGGATGGGGGGAGGGCAAGAATAGTATGGAAAATATAGAATCTAAAGAACTTGAGACATGTGGACATAAACTAAAGGGGGGGAAATGGTGGGGGAGGAGGTGTGCAGGGTGGAGGGGAATGAAGGGGGGAAATAGAACAACTGTAATGGCATAATCAATAAAATATATTTTTAAAAAAGAAAAACAGCAATCAATCAACCAATCAATCAATCAATAAATATCACCTGCCCTGGCTGGTGTGACTCAGTGGATTGAGTGCTGGTCCCCAGTTAGGGGCATGCAAGAGGCAACCAATCAATGTTTCTGCTGCTCTCTTCCTTCCTTCCCCACCTCAATTTAATTAATTAATCAATCAATTAATTCCTGAGGGGTCACTACATACCAGGGGCCGTTTTAGGCTTGAAGGATACACCCAAGAACAAAACACAGTTCTTGCCCACTGGAGCTCACCTTCTACTGGGGGTGCAGGACACGATACCATATATACGTGAAGTGGTAAAAGAGTACTAAGGAGAAAAATAATGGTACATTTGAGATATTTTGGAAAACAATGACCTACCCATTAGTCACCACTTGGGGAATAAGTGGATACAGGATACCCCCTTGCCTAGCATAATTTACCATCTAATCATCAGTGGCCCTAATATTACCTACTACTGAAGTTTAAGATAAATACCTATTTAAGTCCTTTACCCATTTTAATTAGATTGGTTATTTGCTGGCTTGTATGGTTTTTAAAATCTATTCTTATTAGGAACAATTTGAAAATATCCCCTACTTTTTTTAAAGATTTTTATTTATTTATTTATTTTTAGAGAGGGGAAGACAGAGAGAAGGAGCGGGAGAGAAACATCACTGCAACTGCCTCTTGAGAGCCCACCACCAGGGACTGGCCGGCATCCCAGGCACGTACCCTGACTGGTAATTGAACCCAGGACCCTTTGGTTCATAGGCCGGCACTCAATCCACTGTGCTACACCAGCCAGGACCATAATGCAGCTTTATCAATGCAAAACTACAAGAAAACAAAGGAGATAAAAATATTTGAAAATAAAACATAAATCTCTCATAATTTCAAGATGATGTAATTATCTATCAAGAAAATACAAGCAGGGATTCCAAAAAGCTATCAAAGGTTAGAGAGTTCAATGATAAAGCCAAATGCAAAAACACAGGGAAGTCATTTGTTTTCCTACATGCCAATAATAATTTTAAACATATATTTAAGGGGACCATTCATAATGGTAACCAAGATTTTAAAATACACAGGAATGCCTCTAAATAGGAATGCACAAGATTTCCATGATGAAAACTATAAACTACAAATATAATGCCACTGAAAGTCAGAAAAAGGGAAAGGAGAAATGAATATATACATTCCATATTATCCTAACCAAAATTCAAAAATAATTTTTAGTAGAACTTGACAATTTGGCTCTAAAATCTGGCTCTAAATTTGTCTGAGGATGAAACTTTTACTTTTTATACCTCAATACTATTTGAAAATTTACAAATGTGTACTTATATCACTTTATTATAAAAAAATTTTTCCAGGTTACTGAGATATGTAAACACTGTGTAAGTTTAAAGTGCCAAAAGGTACATGAGAAGATGGTCAGCATCGCTAATCGTCAGGGAAATGCCAACTGAATCTATGAGTTGTCACCTCAAGTCTATGAGAATGACTATCATCAAAAAAAAAAGAAAGAAAAAGAGAGAAACAGCGAGTATGGGTTAGGATGTGGAGAAAAGGGAAGCCTTGTGCATTGCTGGTGAGAATGTAAACTGGTACAGTCACCGTGGAAAAAAGTATAGAGTTTTCTCAATACTTTTGAACAATGACATTCCTAGAGATCCAGCAATTACATTCCTGGGAATAAAGCCTAAGAAAATAAAATCACTAATTCAAAGAGATACCTGTACTCTCAAGTTCACTGCAGCATTATTCACCATAGCCAAGATATAGATACAACCTAAACGTCTTTTCAAGAGATGAATGGCTTAACATATGTGATACACACAGACACGCACACACATATATATGTTCATTGTACATATATATGAATAGCATCGAATAATATGAATACTACGTATAATATTCACCCACGAGAAAGAAGGAAATCTTGCCATTTGTTGACACATGGATAGATCATCTTGAGGCCATTATGCAAAGTGAAAAAATAATTAATTACTTATCATTTTCCTACAGTTAAAAGACTAAGTTTGAAATTCACCCTTATACAAACTTCCTGACGAGAGACAGTCTATAACTAATAGGCATATATAGTTGTATCTTCTTTATGATAGATTTATTTACAGTTAAACTATATTTATGATAAATAATCCAGATTATGAGAACAGTGATTTTTATTTATCAGTTTAAAAGAGGAATGACAAAAAGTACAACATTTTCAGATTTAGGAATTTCAACAGTATCTTCAGATTTAGTAAAATAATTTACCTTTTTAGGAAGTAAAAGCCAAAAATGAATGAAATAATTAAGAGAAGTACTTGCTTTACGTGGTAGTCTAGGACTGTAACCTACAGGAATACAAACTAAAAACAAAGCAATCTGGCAATCAATTATAAAGTTACAAATGATCTGTGACTCCTAAAAATTCTGTAAAAACACTAAAACTTTATTTCTGTCAGTTATAAGTACACAGAAAAATGAAAATAGTAAAACTAACATCTATTTAGTGCAGTATAATTTAGAACATTAGAGACAGCATTAACTAAGTGTAGTCTGAATGGCCTGGCCTTTTTACCATTTAACTTAAGATCCTGAGCAATCTCTTCTACTCCTTGGTAGATTACCAAACTCCTTTTCAAATTCGGATTTCCTTTCGACATTTCGTCCTTTGCACTTTCACTGTCATGAATTATGTGAAGTTTGTAGGCAGTACCACTTCCTCTAGTGTATCTCCATCCTTTTCATCACAACTGGCTTCCTCATTTGCATGGAAAAGTCACCGGCACTAAGTTCCTCCAGCTACATATTTGGAGTCTCTCGCTCGAACAGTGGCAGTGAGACCATTCCCTCAGTCAGCTATTCTGGTGTAACTCCATGTACAGTCTATGATTTTAATTTCCCAAGTTATCATTTCTTTGCTGCATTTTCATTTCATCTTTATTAACCAAATCCCTCTTTCAATTATTGATTTTTGTAAAATATCAAGTGGGTTTCTCCTTGGAAAACAAGAAGAAAACACAACTACATGCTATATGCATGAACTGGCCAAAATGCAGTGCCCAATCACTAAAAAACTGTGAAAGAAGTGACATAACTTTTCACTGATTGTGATGGACATTTGTTATCCACATACTGAGTTGTGGATTGAAGAGTTGATGGTGAAGGTTATACAGATGCAATTACTACATCAGTATACCACAATAACTGAAATTTTAACCATGTTGTTGGGGGACTGGGAGACTGCATTATTTAAGCACATACAACTGCCATGTGATGCAAGAACTACCTGTCCATAAATGCAGCATAACATCAACAAATGAAAAATTTACAAAAGAATCTTCCCCCTACATTACCAAATAACATAAACCTGAATGTAACAATCAAGTAATTTATAGGTGTTTTACAGGTACTGTGAGTCCTTGAGTCTTATATTTGGGTTTCATAACTCACCTCTTAACAGAACATACTGATATCCATAATCATCTTTCATAAATGGGATTTGGACTTTGATATTTTAAGAAAGAAGATTTCAAGCTCCCACATGGTGGCAGTTGTGTTTTCATCTTATTACAATAGAGTTTATTTGTGCAACTATACAATTTTATTACATTTTGACCTTACATAAAAATGTATAGAAAATAAAATGGGCAATGGTGGACAAAAAGCATAGTAGTAATGAAAAAGACAAGTTTTGTGCATGTAACTGCACTGAACTGAACTAGTTCTGTAAAACAGTTTCACAGAACCATTAAGCATTAGACAGTCACTACATGATGACAGTTTTTTTCACTCTGAATGTAAAAAACCAAATACAAAGAGGGCAAGTGCAACACAACTTGCAAAAATATTTTATTAATGATTTTAAAAATAATTAGGAATTGCATTATATTTTTAGCTCTCTGATGACAGAAACCCCCAACTAATATTAGCCCATTGTATGGATTTTGCATTGCAAGTGAAAACTGGACAACGCTTTTATGTTTACTAATACTCATTAGAAGCTCTATGCTACTAAATTGAATAAAACATTTCTATTGGAATTAATGTAACTTAAAACACAGAAAGCATACTCACAATTTTTAAGTCATATAATGACAAAAAAAATCCATTAGCTAATTAATATCCCTCTTTGTAGGAAGTCAAAATATTGCTGTATATAATCTGTCCTCAAAATGATTAGTGCTCTTTATCTCATAGGAGAAGTATCTTGATATTAAGAGATAGGGAAATCAAAACACAGAAAAGACAGAATTAGAACTCATATTTCTGAATTTTAACACTTCAGTATTTCTTACAAAACACTTTAGATACAAAGTTCTAAGTTAACACAGAAAGGCAGATGGCATGTTCAATTTGATATTTAACATTATATTTAATATGTATATTTAATACAATCAATACATGTTCATTTTCCAAAAGTCAAAATGATCCATTTTACTTACTCCAACAATCCGTTTCATTGCATCCAATTTAGCAGAATCTTTGTTGCTCTCCAACATCTGCTTTAGATCTTCATTCCTATACAAAAGAAAAGTCCATATTTAGATTTTCACATTATACAGCTATTAAAATATATCATTTTCATAGGAATTAGAAATATGATAGACAATGTTAAATAACTTCATTCTTATTTATAATTTAATATGTATTTCCTGTCTTAACCCTACAAAATCATAGGAAGGCTTACTTTTATCTAATTAAAAACACAACTGGGATATATCTAAACAGTAGAGACAGTAATATATAAAAACTACATCTGAGGATATACAATTACCAAATAGTAAATAACTACAAATGTTCACTGTAATGAATTTACTACCCTTTCTTAAAACATGTCAGACTCTTTCACATTGAAAAAGGGGAAAAATTAGTATTACCACATATGAGGTTTCTTCTTTTAACTTTTTGTTATTTACCTATTTTATTTAATGAGCATGTATACTTTTTATAAATGAAAAACCTAAACGCTAAACTTTATAGGAACTAATTTCCTAGAAAAAGTGTGATTACACATATGCATGTCAAAAAAACAAAGAAAATTCATTTTCTCATTTCTGATCCTCTTTACTTTTTCCCAAGAGTTCTCCATCATTCTTCTCCATCAGTGCTACCCTCAGAGAGAAGTGAGCAGTGAAGAATAATGAACTGCCAGTTTTTAACAAGTCCCAACCTCTAAAACCAGTTCTATCTTTTTCATGGCCTAAGGAAACTTATTTCTTCTGCTCTGAGACACCAGAGTCCCTCCCCACCACCATTAGGTCCTGACACACTCTCCAAAACTACAAACAAGAGAACAGGGGCCCAATATTACAGCCAAACGGTTTGCTCTCTGTGTTTACAGAAAAGATAGTCTTCAACAACAAATATAAGTATCTTTTGTCCTGACACGGGCAGAGTAATAATAACTTTGAGGTTCAGAGAAAAGAGACAAGGAAAACCCTAGGAACTATTTCAACCTGATGTGATATTCAACTTCTCACAGACATGTCATAACAATTCTAATATAGATTGAACATTTCTTTCCAAACTCCTCTTTGCTTGTTACCAAAGCAATAAAGATTTGAAAGAGTTAGTTAATACCATGACCCCTAGTTTATCCTCATAATATGTTCAGTTGTATTGAGTCATTTTAAGTCTGCCTCCCTCATATGTTAATTCAAACATGGTCTATTAACATGTTATTGCATTAACTTATATTTTTAAAAATTCTCTTTGATAAACATCGAAAGTTGATTCAAATTAATGCTAAATTGGTAATACTTTCATTGCCTCTGCTGAAAACCAATACTTGTTTCAAATATGTATTTTTTTTATTTACCTAGTTCTTCCTTAACTATTTCCCTGTACCTTTCCAACTTTAAGTATTAGGTTACCAACTTTATTTTTACATAAGTGACATCTTGTGGTGTTAAGCGGTATAACCTTTCACGTTCAAAATATTCCTGTTTTTCTACTTTCAAACAAGAGAGAAAACTATGTAACTGGACTGTTAAAGAAAATCTTACTATCAACAGGAAGCCACTCTACTTCAGCACCAACATAAAGCAACAACTAAGTTTTCCAGTTACATATAAGAACTTAGGAGGTAGCAGGACTTTTAGATTTTAAAAATTGCCATTAAAAAATTATAATCTGTAAGTCTTTAAAACCTCCCACTCCATTTAAAGACGGTGTAAATTAAGGAAAATGTTAAGACTGCAGCACTGTACGCTGTATCAGTGCCACTCAAAGTGTGAGCAGAAAAAGCCTGCTGCAGGAACCATCACCAATCCACACACATTTGTTACAATCCCTGAGTTATGCACCGAACTGAGAGCAAGCACACTTAGAAAGCTGACAGAGCAATGAACAGTGTAACTTCATATCTTCCGATCTAAGAAAAACGGGGGCTTGTATTCTGCATGTCTTTTTTCATTTCCTGTAACTTTTTTTTCATCTTCTTAGTAATTTATTTTTTGTTGTACTGTATTTTTCGGACAATAAGACACACCTAGGTTTTAGGGGAAATTTTTTGAAGCAAAAATTACAGTAAAATATTTAATAACATAAGTAACATAGTATTTCACCAATGTAAATGTAAACAGAACTCAACAGCAGCATTAACAACCATTATCCCTCCAAATGCAGTGGGGTGCATCTTATAATCCAAAAAATATGTTGCCTTTACTGAAGCATTCATTCATGATGGACTAAAAATTTAAAAAGACCCTTCATCAGTTTGAGTGCAGTGCTCTACACAGTTACCTTCTTTTTCCTCAAAACACTCACCCAAATTTATACACCATAGAAAGCAACACATGAAACTTAAATCCAGGAATGATGGACTGAAAAATGTGATAAAGAATAGCAAATTCCAATCAGAGACACAGCCCAAACGGATGCATCAAAATCTTTACAGAGGGGAGGGCTGGACGTTTTTCAAGCCCTGTCAAAACTTCTACACGTATAACACGGCACCACACCTCTTCCTGCTTTGAGAACCACTCAAATAAAAGCTGTTCCTATGCCAACTGGTGCACTGTACACATGAATAGGTATGCAGGGAAAAAAGGCTGGTGATAAAAGTCAGAATCCTGCTTTTTCTGTTTGCTATGCAGCTAAAGGGGTAGACCCCTCAGTAAGCTATGTGCACAGTGTGAAAGGTTAGAAACTTTCAGTTCGGTTATGCCATCTTGATGATACTTAGAACCTTGTATAGTTTCTGGCACAAAGCATGCACTAAATAAAACAATAGTTAGTAAAACAGAAAACCCCAGCTACCTAAACATCCATCTATAAATGCTCTAAAAGGAGGAGCCACAAATTATCCAAGTAAAATGCATGAATTTTTCCTATTCTGTTCACTAATTAGGAAGTCTACAATTGCTGTCACTACCTCCTCAACCCTTACTAATCTTTTCTCTCTCACTCCTGTTAAAATTTCTCTCACAAAGGTAACAAATAACTTTCTAATTAAAAAACCCAATACAAAAAACTCATACTTTTACATTATTCCTCCACCTTTGACACAATGACCAATAATTCTCCGTCTTGAAATTCCCTCCTCCATTAGATTCTGTCACTCTATTCTCATCTGGTTTATATTTGCATTTGTGACAAACCAATGAATAAAAATGGCAGAAATCCTTGTGTCCTTACCCTCGGAGTTTTTGTTCTAATAAGTAAAATCATTCAACAAACTTATTAAATAGCTAAAGTATAAGTACTGAGATGATATAAAGGAAAATTAGACCAGGGAAGAGGGAATGCAAAAGGGAAACGAGGAGACAATTTTAAATAGAATGGTCATAGTAGGTTAAGTAAAGAGACATCTGAACAAGAGTTACAAATGAGGATGTTAGCCATGCAGATACTGGGTGGGGGGAGCACTCGAGGCAAAAGAGACAATGAAAGTAGGGTAAATAATACTAAGGACTTTGGTGTTTACGCTGAATTAAATAAGGCACCTCTGGAGGGCTTTGAATAAAAAAGAGTCATGATTATATATGTGTATATACATATATATATGTCATGATCTAATATATTTTATATAGATATATAGATATACAGATATATAGATATATAGATATAGATGATTTACCAAAAGGACTAGAACTTGAGGGGCAAAAAGACAGAAGGAAAAAATGAAATGGTATGTAAAAATCTGTGTACAAACACCCTCAAGTAGTTGGCTACAATTTTCCCAGGGCAAGATTCAGAAAATCCAGCAGCAAACAGGTGGGAGGGAGGTAAATACCTGCAAAGAGAATTCAGCAACCACACACAGCTGTGAAAAGAAAATGGAATTCAAGTATCTCCCAAGTAGAAAAGTCTTGATAAATACCCTGGCTTTCAGTTAAGATCACAGAAGGGCCACGATGAAAGAGTAAGGATATTTTCTAAGAGTATGATAAAAACTGAAATAATCAAGGTCTTACAAAGCCTAAAATTGAGCTTAAACAGGATCAAACTTGTCTACTACTACTCTATCTGCCTGTCTGAAAAACACACAAACCACTTTGGAAGAAAAATATATATCCAGAGCCTCAACAATGTTTTTATCCTAAATATTCAGCATCTAATCAAAATCTAAGATACATGCTAAAAACATGAACAAATGACAAAAAAGAAAGAATGAAACAAGAAACAAACAGATCCATAGGTACCTCAGATACTAGAGTTACTGGGCAGGGATTTTAAAGTAATTACAATTAATATGTTCAGGAAAATATGGACAAAGTAGATGAAATGATAGGGAATATCGACAAAGTAGTATAAACTATACAAAATAACTAAATGGACATCCAGAACTGATAAACACAGTATATGAAATTAAGAATTCACCAGCCCAGACTGGTGTGGCTGAGTCAGGGTTGGGCATTGACCCAAAAACTGGAAGGTCACTGGTTCAATTCCAGGTCAGGGCACATGCCTAGGTTGCAGGCCAGGTACCCAGTTAGGGCCTTGCAAGAGGTAACCAATCAATGTTTCTCTTGCACATCAATGTTTCTCTCCCTCTCCTTATCCCTCTCTGAAAATAAATTGATAATATTTTTATTAACTTTTTGTTGTTGTTCAAGTACAGTTGTCTGCATTTTCCCCCTAGCTCTCTCCCCGCCCCAGCCATCCCCACTTCCCACCCTTGATCCTACCCCTCTTTGGTTTTGTTCATGTGTCCTCTACAGTTGTTCGTGAAAACCCTTCTTCCTTTTCCCCCCATTATCACCTCCCATCTCCTCTCTGGTTACTTTCAGTTTGTTCTTAATCCAGTGTCTCTGGTTATATTTTGCTTGCATGTTTGCTTTGTTGATTAGGTTCTACTTATAGGTGATATCATGATATTTGTCTTACACCACCTGGCTTATTTCACACATAATGCTCTCCATTAACAAATCAGCAAATAACAGTTGTTGGAGAGAATGTGGAGAAAAGGGCACCCTAGTGCACTGTTGGTGGGAATGCAGACTGGTGCAGCCACAATGGAAAACAGTATGGAATTTCCTCAGAAAACTAAAAATGAAACTGCCTTTTGACCTAAT